TTGATTGATTATTAACGTCTGCCATGGGTTTCGAGTGGGGCATGTGGCATGCTTGGTGTGTATTTGCCATCTTTGGTGCAGCCCATAGATTGATCTGTGTGCTGGACCATCCGTTTCCACCGCCACCCTTACCCACCTGCTCTGTGTGCTGGGAGGCAGATTCTGACAGACTGCATCGACAGATCCCCTTGCCCTCTGCCTTCTGCTGGGTTTGGCCATTGGGAGGCAGTGGCAGGAGGGCAGAGGATGGGAGCAGAATGATGTCAGGATGCTTTTCCCTGACTCCCCCTCTGCTGGGTCACCATGGTTTATTGAAGGCCACATCTCCTTTCAGGAAGCCGACTGTACATCTGTCCTCTACAGGTTCCAGTAACTGCCCCATCCCTTACCCCTTCGGGCCAGCCTCCCTACATCCTCTCTTCTTGGTTTCTCCAAATCCTGCCCACACCTTTGTAAACAGTCCTTTTAATACACTGCCTCCAAATCATTCAGTGTAGGTGTTCCATCTCTTTCCTGCAAGGATCCAGACTGAGGCAGTCTGTAATGCTCGGGAGGCTTGTTCTAGGCGAAGGTGTTAGAGTTACTAATGGACACCTTTGTCACCCCTTTCCTCAAAGTCAGGGGCAATGTGCCTCTACACTCTACAGGATACCCAGCTTGCATCATGGCATGGGATGCGCTTAGATGTCTTTTAAATTCATTTTTATTGATCAACCCCCCGGGGGGAAATGATGGTGTCTCCGCTGCGGATTGTAAGTACATCCAGCTGTGTGGCGCTCCAGACGGGAGCTTTCAGGAATCAGTAGGAGGGAACTGACATCTCCAGTGGTTCTCTCCAGATTGTATTGTGGCAGGCCACTGAGAGCTGTCATTTCCGAGAGCTGTTGGTTGGAAGTGGCTGTGCACCAGGTGGCCTGGAAGGACAAGTGCACCCACACCTGGTGTCCCGCGCGCTCTTCATCCTGTTCCTGCCTCTGCTCCCCTGCTCCCCAAGGCCTTAGAGTGTACACTCTGAAACCAAGCTCTATGGTGTATTATTAGACCCTCCCGCCCCCTCAGTGTGCTGGAGGAGGGGGAGGAGGAGCTGTTCAATGCCTTCAGAGCAGGGTTTCTTGAACTTGAAGGAACATAGAAAATCACCTGGGGACAGTGTCGAATTGCAGATTCTGATTCAACAGGTCTGGGGTGGGGGCGGAGATGCTGCATTTCTAACGAGCACGCTGGTGATGTTGCTGCAGCTGGTCCAGGGAACACACCTGAGTAGCAAGGACCTTAGAGATGACCCCTCCAGGACGGTAGCTGTTGGCCGCAGGTGGCTGTTTACATTTGTTGCCCTTTCTTTGGTTTTCATCTCAGAATCTCATCAACCCGTCAGAACTCTTTGAGAGTCTAGTGACAGAAACTCAACTCAAAACGTTTTTAGCTTAAGTCAAAAAGAGAAATATATTGGTTTTTATGAAACTGGAAAGATAGGGGGCTCGCCTTAGGAATGGTAGGGTCCAGGGACTCAAATGATGTCACCATTGTCATTGTCACCACCATCACCATGGCTGTCATCATCATCTCTTTCTCCTTTCTTTGCTCCTATGCCTCTTTTCTTGATTTTTGGCCTCATTCTCTCTACCTACAGACTACAGACTGGCTTCCCCTCTCTGGCAGGGGCTTTGGCTGCTGGCGGCTCCAGGCTGATATTGTCACACTCACCATCTAAATGGAACAAGGGAGCTCTTCCTCCCAGCATCTGAGTGCTCCTGCACCTGGTCCTGGGAACAGGGGCTGGAGTGCCATGGCTTGCCCTGTGGGAAGGGGGTGGGCAGGCCCCCAGAATCAGATGAGTGAGGGGAGAGACCAGTGAACCCTAAAGGAAGAGATGGTATGCTAAGAGGTACGGGCAGAAAAAAACCAGCAGATGTTCTCTCTGCTCCATTGCTCTCCCGCACCTCACTGCGAATGCTGTCCATCTAGTCCCCTTCAGAACCTCTCTCAGTGTTTCTGCCACCCTTTAATCATTTCCAGTGGGGAAAAGATAGTTTGACATATTTTGCTTGGTAGTGAAAAACGCACAACCATCTTCCCTGTGTATTTTCCTTGCAACCAATTATCAAGGCTTTTTCTTTGGTGCAGAAATTAAAATAAAAAGACAACCATTCTGGCTAGGTTTTTCCTTTAGTTTCTCCAGGCATTTGATAGCATCTCACACTGCCTTGCTTGAAGAATGTATTATAATTGCTTGAGAATAGCAAGCGGAACTGCAAGGATGGTAAATAGCGGGAGGGGAAAGCAGCTGCCTGCCGAGAGAGAAGCTGGAGGCCAGGTTTGGTCTGATGTTCATTAATGGGCTGGAAGGACATGACAGCGTGGTGAGATGAGGGCCTCCCAGTGCTGCGGGCACAGACAGGAAAGGCAGTGCAGGCAGGCACCAGGAAATAAGTTGGCTAAAGCCATTTTTCACTTTTTAATAGGAAAAGTACAGGTTGTATTTTTGGGATTATTTTTGGTGGGGGGTAGGGGAGAGTTTGGGGGCGTAGGGGTGGAAGGAGAGGATTGGTTACATATGGCGAAGTCGCCAAAGCCAGAGGCACAGGTGTCTGGAATAGCATCTCCTAGACCGGACTCCAGCTTCCTCCTGTCTGCCCTCTTCACACAGACCTCCCACCCGGCCATGGAAAGGCACAGCCATCACACTGCCTCACCTGGGGCCACGCTCCAGGCAGAGTGGCAGGAGGGGAAGGAACATTTGTGGAGCACCTACTGTGTGCCGGGTACTTTGCATTCATGAACTCAGTTAATCCTCACACTGGTCCCATGGCAAAAGTCTGCATCTCCAGGTCTCAGATGAGGAACTAGCGCCCCGAAAAAAGTGAAGTAAATTCCACAAGATCACCTTGATTGTCAGCAATAGAGCTGGGATTCAAACTCAGGTTTGTCTGACTGTAGAGCTGGCAGTTCTCCTCCATCCATCCCTCATTTATCCATCCATCCCTCGTTTATTCCATCCATCCATTCATCCATCCATCCCTCCATTTATCCATCCATTCGCCCATCCATCCATCCATTTATCCATCCGTTCATTCACTCATCCATCCATCCCTCCATTTATCCATCCATACATTCATCCATCCATCCATCCCTCCATTTATCCATCCATACATTCATCCATCCATCCACTCATCCATCCCTCCATTTATCCATCCATTCGCCCATCCATCCCTTCTCCATTTATCCATCCATCCATCCCTCCATTTATCCATCCATCCATCCCTCCATTTATCTATCCATTCACCCATCCATCCATCCATTTATCCATCCGTCCATTCACTCATCCATCCATGCCTCCATTTATCCATCCATTCATTCATCCAACCATCCTTCCATTTATCCATCCATCCGTCCCTCCATTTATCTATCCCTCCATTTATCCACACATCTCTCCATTTATCCATCCATCCATTCATCCATTCACCAATCCATTCAACAAATATTTAAAGGAGCATCCACTATGTGCCCAACACTGTGCTAGGCACAGAGGATGTAGGACAGGGAACAAGACAGACATAGCTCTTGCCCTTATGGAGGCTGCAATGCAGTAGGATTAAAAGAGGGTAAACAAACAAATATATGATGAGATGTTGTGAAAAGCAAGATGGAGGAAAACAAAGTAGGGTTAGAGGAAAGCATACTAGGGCTGGGGTGAGGCAGGTGAGGCAAGTGACGCAGTTTACGGAGGTGCTCACTCTCAGGGTCCTGCAGGGGCAGGGTGGAATGTATGATCGTGGCTCCTTAAATTTTTCACCCTTAGGTGCCTTGCTCACCTCACCCTCATCCTGGTCCTGCAGATGGGGAGTTGTGGGAGATGGGTGACATTTCACCAGAGACACCAGGTGCTCTTGCAGTGGTCCAGACGGAGTGTGGTATCTGGAGCAGGGGTGGGTTGGGGGCACTGAGCAGATTCCACTAAGCAGAAGGCATCCTTGCATCCTGACTACGCCAGAGACTCAGGGAACGCAGGGGACCAAGTGAGGGACAATGAGGAGGGGTGAAGGAGGTCAGGAGGAAGAGATTAGTGGGTAGGTATCTCCAAGGCAACGGGAGCCCACAGCCAGCGGCTGCTGCAGGATTGCAGGGTTTCTCAGCCAAGGACCAGAACTTTCCCTCAACACACTGCGTTTAACCTCAATATTGAGGCGTCTTCCAGAAAAGGCCAGCCTCTTCTGAATCCCTGATTTTTCAGTGTTTCCTGTATTTGGGGAAGTGCGGGGGAAGGAGGAACGGTCTTCTATCTGAAGAATGTGCTTACCCATGCTTCATACACAGACTTAGTTTAGATCAACAGGCCAAAATCGGTAAGTCTCTATAAAAATGAAACACCTAGACCAAAGAGTCCCAGAGTGGGGTCCCTGAACCAGCAGCATCAGCCTCACCTGGGATCTTGTCAACGATGCAGATTCTCAGGTCCCACCCAGACCTACTGAGTCAGAAGCTTTAACTAGCCTTCCAGGTGATTCTGATACCTGTTCACGTTTGAAAACTACTGGTCTGGAGTGTTCATCCATGAACAGTGAGGCACTCTTTAAACCTCACACAGGCAGAGACACAAAAGCCGGCCTTCTCAGAGAAACAGCAGTGTCCCAGTCACCAGTCACCACAGCCCAGGGAAGGGAAGTGACTTACCTCAGGCCACCCGAGAGTGAGCAGTGGGCATGGCCCGCAGGTCGCGTTCCCATTCCGATGCTCATTTCCGTAGTATTGTATATTGTATTTGTGAAGACCCTGGAGAAGGGAGGGCCTGGCACTTACTTCTCTGTATCAAAGAGATAACGAAGAGTCCCCCGTCAACATTTACACCCTGTTTTTAAAGTCCTGCTTGCGATGTCAGATCTCACCAAGACGGGAAACAAGAAATGCGGTCAGAACGGATTTGAAATGGGAGGTGGCTGAGTCGGAACCCTCACGCGGTGTCCAGGGAGCCAGACAGCAATGAAGAATGAGAAGCAGAGGAAAAGGTTATAAAAATGTTTAGTTTTTGCTTTATTCAGTTACAACAAATGAGCAACAAGTTAGAAAAATTGTTTTTTTTTTTCCAAACTCCCTAGCATTTTATTTGTGCGGTGGACTCAAATGGGGGGCAGTGGGGTGGGTGGGGGGAGGATTGCAAACACAATTCATGTTGCAACATTTACACGAGATAGGTCTCTTGGTTTTTCTTCTTTAAAAGTTAGGACTAACTGAAAAAAAAAGTGCACTCAAGAATCTAAAATTGGCCCAAAACAAACAAACAAACAAAAAGAATCAATTCATGGTGAGGCTTCGAGCTGAAATCTTGTCAAATGCCACACTGAGAAAAGGCAGTTAGGAACAGAACGGAAAACAGAAGCCGGTCATCTTTGTACCATCTAGATAGGAAGATCTCTTTTTGTATTAATTTCCCGGAAGTAAAGACAATGCTAACAAATGCGGGAGCCCTTTCTGCTGGTCGAGGGGGGTGCTTAAAAAGGACAGACACTGACACCCAGTGCTCCCCGTGCCGGCTGGGCCCAAGGTCTGACCTGAGAGGCCAGGCCGCGGGAAAACCAGACCCACCTCTTGGCAGTTCAGAAAGCCGCGTGCGTGGCTCAGCAGGGACCCCAAAGGCGGCTGGGGGCAGAACCGGAAACAGATTTGATCTGGAAGATCCACTATTTGTAAACCATCTTCAAGTTGAGACAGACGCCCGAATCCCAGCCCTTCCCCCGAATAAATCTCCCAGATTTCAAACTACCTTTAAAAACAAACTCCCCCTTTCTAAAATCCAGTAGCTATAATGGCACTAAGGCTACCATCCCCCCTCCCCCAAATTAATAAAATGAAAAAAAAAAAAGAAAAAGGAGAAAAGCTTGTGGGATCAGCCCTCCCTTCTGGAAAAAACCTTACAATGGTAGTGCTGGAAAAGAGAGTCGCCCTCGATTAAAAAGGTAGCAAAATTCCTATATTGTACAAATCAGTTCCAGTAGGGCAAGAGGCGGGGGTGGGGCAGAGGAGCAAACTATTTACAAGGACGCATTGGAAACGCAGTAGTAGGACTTTGGCACTAGGAACAGTTCCCACCGGGCCTCTGGGAGGTGCGTGTGCACGCGGCTGGGGTCCTGCACCCTGCAGGCACACGCGGGCCATCGTGTTGCGCTTGGAGTCTCTGGCCAGGGCGGCCCACGGCCGGGCGGGAAGTTCTCTTCTTTCTTCCAAGACAGCACAGCAGTCAACGGCACAGCAGTTCAGAGGGACTTTCCTAGAAAGATGACAAGGACAGAGACGAGATGTCAGGGAGATGATCGTCATTCCCTGGGTGCAAGGCGTCGGGGGCTGCCTCTTCCTGGCTCTCCCGGAAAGGAGACCTCCAGAAGCCATCCCCAGGCTGGGAGGAGAGACGCATCCCCTTCAAGTTTGGGGCCTGTTTTAAAGGAGTGTGTTTCCCCGAGCACAGTCTGACACTCTGGGAATTGCCTCCAGGGTTAGGCCTTTGAAAACAGGATGATTTTCTGGGCAAGTGAAGGAGGTGGCCTGTGATTCTTTTGATCATTACAAGACCCTTTTCTGATTCCTGGAGAGGCAGCCAGACACAGTGGTTCCTAAAAGGCCCTACAGTCGGACAAACCTCCGTTTGGGTTCTGACCTTTCCACTTGCGGGTTGTGGGGCCACACACATGGGACTCAATCTCTCTTGGGCTTAGTTTCACTTCTGTAAAACAGGGATGGTAACAGCATCCCTCTCGTGGAGTTGTTGTGACGATTAAATACGTTGACATACGCGCCACCATTTGGAATGGTGTCTGGGACATGGTAGGTATTATATCCACTTTTCACTGCTTTTGTTAGATGGAACCTTTTCCAAACGGGATAGGATATATAATAGTAATCATAATGAGATGAGACATTTTTAGCGTATTTTTTATTTAATGTTTATATCAACCCTCAGAGGCGTAGGTATTATCATTATTCCCATTTTACAGGTGAGGCAACTTAGGACAGAGAGGCTAAATAATTTGCCCAAGATCACACAGCTAGTAAGTGGCAGAGCCAGGGTTCAAACCCAGGTAATCTCCAGAGTCTGTGCTCTTAACAAACAGTATTAATTAAGAGTCAGTATGGAGAAATGTTTAATTTTTATATACTTTGAAGTGATGAAAATAGTCCAAGGTCCTTGTTATGGGTTGAGTTGTGCCCCTCAAAAAAAAACGTGTTGAAATCTTAATCCTCAGTATCTCAGAATGTGACCCTGTTTGGAAATTCCTTTACAGAGTTAAGTAATCAAGTTAAAATGAGGTCACTAGGGTTGGTCCCAACCCAATATGGCTGGTGTCCTTATAAAAAGGGGAAATTTGAACACACAGACAGACACGCAGGGAGAAGGCCATGTGAACATGAAGACAGAAATTGGGGTGATGCATCTACAAGTCAAAGATTGCCAGCAACCTACCTACCAGAAGCTTGGAGAAAGGCGAGGCACAGACTGCCCCTCACAACCCTCAGAAGGCACCGACCCTGCCAACCAGACTTCCAGTCTCCAGACTGTGAGAGAGTAAGTTTCTGGTGTTTACGCCACCCAGTTTGTGGTATTTTATGGCAGCCCTAGCAAACTCAGACAGACTTCCATTACCTTTGTGGGCTCCTGGGATCCAGAGATCCAGGGCAAGAATCCACAGGGCGGGCTTGAGGCTATAAAGGATGCAGCCAGCATTCCATGACAGGCTGGAAGTTCATCAAATCTTCAGGTTCCTGAAGCCACTGGCTTTTACTTTGCCTCCCTCCTGGTAAGACCACGTCATTTCTTGGCCACTTCTTGCTGAGAAAGGAGCTGAGAAGTATTTTTGTACAGGGGGCCAAGAGCAAGAAGAGTAGACTCCTCAGCCAAAGGCGTCGGCAGATTGTCTACACTGTCGCTCATTCCTAATATCTGGATGTCAAATGCACCCACATCCTCTAGACGCTCCTGATAATAAGTCTGAATATTGGAGTTAAGAGACCAACTTGTAAAAGATACGTCTGTGGATAAAGTCAGATTCTGGGGGTGTCCTTAGGATCTGGTACCACCCAAAAGTGACCCAGCAAAAGTTACCGAATTGTAAGAGCTACAAGGATCCTCATGCTGCCAACATCGCTCATCTCAGGAGGAAAAAAATGGGAGCTCAGGGAGAAGAAGTGAGCTCCCCAGGTCACATGACCGCTCAGCAGCACAGTCAAAAACAATAAGATCGTGAATGTGATCATGAGAGTTGCTAATACTTATCTCACGTTTATTATGAGCCAGGCCTGATGCTAAGCGATAATCCAGATCATCTCATTTACTCTTTACGGTAACCTGGGAGGGAGGAGGCTGTTAGCCCCCCTCAGAGTGAAGAAATGGAGGCTTAGAGATTAAATAGCCTCAGGCAACTGGCAAGGGGTGGACGCTGGAGTCCACCTCGGCCAGTCGAGCTTTAATTGCTCCTTCCCACAGCTGACCAAGTCCAGGGCTCCTTGTTTTGCACGCACAGCGTCTCCCTGCAGGGTGCCACCAGGCACAGGAGAGAGCACGTCTGCTTCAAAGATGGGCTGGTGGTCCCGCGCAGAGCCACCTGCACCCCTGGTGGGCACGGACCACAGCCAGCCTCCTCCTGTGCTCCCCGAGGAACAGAGTTTTCCCAGCAAGTGGTCTTCCTTTGGAAAGGAGCCTGCCTCTGGCGGGATGTCCACCTGAACAGTTCTCAGGACTCCAGGAAACAAGGCCCAAGGTGGGTAGACGGCGACTGCTCTTCCTTCTCCCAAGCAGGCTGAGGAAGGCCAGGTCAGCACACGACTGTGGGTGTTCGCCGCGGTGGGGCAGCATGGAAGGACCCGTGCAGCAGGAGAAAGCTGGGATCCCGGCTCTGCCACTTCCTCGCTGTGTGGCGACATCAGTTACTTAACCTCCCGGGACTCCCTTCTCAATTCATCACCGACGCTGCTGGGAGGGTTACAGATGAGGCCTGCAAAGCACACAGGTGCTCTAGAAATACTGCTTCATTTTCCCCTGAGGCAGGCCAGGCGTAAACTTAGGGCCTTGGGTGTAAGTGAGCTTACCTGTGTGTTTGTCATTTTCTTTCTCTCATCTCATTAACAGACCTCAACCCTCTCTCTTCAAGTGATTGGCAAAAACTCTCACTTTGTAGATAAAACTCAATATTAAGGCGCTTCCCCATCTGGCAGTGTGTTTTTATGCTTCCCTGGGTAATTTCTTACGGACGTGAACATGTATCATCCTCAATCATATGTATTAATAAAGAAAAAAATTCTGAATAAGGCTCCTTAAACAAAACAACCCAAAAAACAGATTGTAAGGCCAAGAGAATGACCTGGAGAAAGGGAGACAAAACCACATTTTCTCTTGGCTTTTGTAGAGATCCCAGATGTCTGTGATGGCTCTGGGCCCTGGAAGCACCCTTGGAACCTCTGGACTTCCATTCTCACTTGGTGTCTCCCAGTGTGTGTGGCAGCGGCAGCTGGGGAGATGCTGGAAACGGAGGGCAGGGGCGGTTTCTCCATCAGGGACACAGCTGAGGCCCAGCCGCCTTCCCCCTCCGGCCGCAAGCCCCAGCTGCAGACCCGGAAGGCCTCGTTCCGGCCGCCACCAGGTCTCCTTGTTAAAAGTTCCTGCTTCAGGGCTTGCCCAGCACAGCTGTTATCACGCAGTCTTCAAATTGCCTGGTTAACTGGACATCGTGTGAGGCCCGTGAAGACGTGGATCGTGTCCACAGTGTTCACTGCTCACCCCTGCCCCGCCACCTCCGCTTGTGTCTGGACCACACGAGATATTCAAATGTTTGTTAATGAATGAAAAATGGGAAGCCAGCATGGAGCTGTTAGAAGTAGCTGGTTACACAAGATTGGTGACAAAGTTCACATTTCAGGGTTTTTTTTAGAGTATCCTAGTGATTTTGAGTCTGTGGCCTCTTGCTAACCCCCTGGGCTTCTACTTGGAATCTTACTTGGTCAGACATTCCCCACCGCAAGGACCAATGGCCTGAGGGATCACTTGATCCTAGAGCACCAGATCTCAGCTTTGGGAGGGTCATCCAGCCCATTTCCTTATGGCCACTGTTTGAACATTGCCACCAAGCGGATGTCCAGCCTCTCCCTGAACCCTGCCCAGGACAAGGAGCCCACTGCCTCCCACAGCTGCCCTTTTCTATCTTGGAGACAACTTGGAATGTTAAAAAGTACTAATTCTTTAGCAAAATCTGCTTTCCTATTACTTTACCCGTTGGGGAGACATGAAACAATTAGAATTCTTTTCCCATGTGATAGCTTTCCATTTTCTTTTTGGTGAGGAAGATTGGCCCTGAGCAAACATGTGTAGCCAATCCTTCTCTTTTTGCTTGAGGAAGACTGTTGCTGAGCTAACACCTGTGCCAATCCTCCTCTATTTTGTATGTGGGATGCTGCCACATCATGGCTTGATGAGCGGTGTGTAGGTCCATGCTCAGAATCTGAACCCACAAACCCTGGGCCACCAAAGCGGAGCGTGTGAACTTAACCACTATGCCACTGTGCTGGCCTCTCTATTTCTTTTTAATTTTGTCTGTAGGAATTTCCCTAAGGCCTGCTGACTTGGGAGAGAATAACACCATACTCCATGAGAAAGAAAAGACAAGCACTGTGATAGTGATTATTATCTCTCAATATTTCTGAGTCACACTTTTTTTATTGGGAGGGGGGTTGGTCTGATTTTAATTAGAAGGGAGAAAAGGAAAATATGGTGGAGTGGAGAGGGACTGAGCAATTTTCCAGTGGAGAGGGAAAGCTCCATCCGGCCCCTCATCATCCTCCCCCGCCCACACCCAGGCCTCAGTCAGCTCTGGAACATCTGAGCAAAGCTCTTTTCCTGCAGCCGTTTGGGGAAGCTCTGGGGTTGGGGAAATGGCTAAGACTTATAAGCCAGGTAAATCTCTCCCAGGCAGCTCCCAGGGAGGCTCAAAGTCAGAAGGAATCAGAGGGGCCCTTGGCCCTTCCTACCCACTTTCCATCTGTGGATGTTAACCAGTGGAGTTCAAAGAATTTGAGCAAACGGAAGCATATTTTAAACTCACTAGGCACTCTCAATGTGGTCATGGATTTGTGTATGGGTGTGAACCCCAGCTCCACCACTTTCTAACTCAATGACATTGGGACAGTTACCTTTCCGTGCCTCATTCTCATCAGCCATAAGATGAAGAAAATGATGTCCAGAGAGTTGTTCACACACACAGAGTGCCTGAGCAGTGCCTGGCACAGTAAAAGCTCGGCAAATATTGCCCTTGGTCGTTGCCCCAGGACCCCCACCCCAGATGCAATTGACACCCAACAGCATGAGCTTGTATCAGTGGGACCCCAACCGAAACAGTCAACTTGGAAAGGCAGGAAGCAGACGACCAAGCTCTTCCCCACGTGAAGAGAGTGCAACTTCAAAGTCAGCTTCCGTCGAGCAGGTGCTGATGCATACGCCAGGCCCATTTAGGAGCTTTTACTTATCTCATTTAATCCTAACAACAGACAACTCTATTAGTAAGTGTTATGGACTGAAATGTGTCCCCCCCAAATTTGTATGTTGAACCCCAAACTCCAATGTGACTATATTTGGAGATGGGGCCTTTAAGGAGGTAATGAAGGTTAAATGAGGTCATAAGGGTGGGGCCCTAACCCAATAGCACTGGTGGCCTCATATGAAGAGGACGAGACAGCAGGAGTGCACATGTGTAGAGGGAAGGCCATGTGAGGACACAGAGAGAAGGCGGCCATCTGTAAGCCAAGGAGAGACGCCTCACCAGACACCAACCCTCCTGGCACCTTGAACTTTCAGCCTCTAGAACCGTGAGACAAGTTTCTGCTGTTTAAGGCACTCAGTCTGTGGTATTCTGTCATGGCAGCCCTGGTGGGCCAATACAGTAAGTATTAAGGTTATAGAAACTTAATAGTAAAAGAGAAGAAAGTAAAATGTATAGGCATGTGGGCGCTCTAGAATTTTCCACCACCCATCCTCCATTTACCACTAGGCCAGAAGGTTCTGAACACTCAGACATCTGCAAGTTGACTTTCCTTTTGCTCCTTCCTCGAGTATCTCAGGGGATTTCAAACTTTCTCTGCAGGGTCATACACACAGAATCATCTAGAGTCTTCTTTATTGGTGTGGAGGAGTTTCAAAGGAAAATTTGATTATATGTGAGTCCACCTAACACTGGCTCTTGACCCCTGCTCTTCTATGAAGTTTGAATTCAGGCAAGTCATAGCCACAAAGGCCACCTTTCAGGTCCCCTGATGCGCCAAGTTCCCTCTGGTCTCAGGCCTTTCAGTATGTTATTTTTTCTACCTTGAATGGCTTTCCCTTTCTGCCCAGCCAACTCCTACTTAGCCCTCTGGACTTCAATTTATCTACTACCTGTTGAGAGAAACCTTCCCCAACACCTTAAATCAGGTCAAATTCCCCTACTCTATATTCTCACAGTACCATGTACCTTTCCTTCAAAACCTTGTCACCTGTCAACTTTTGCTTTTTGATTAAAGCTTCATTCCTCAATAGACTATGGGCTCCACGAGGGCAGGGACGAACTGGGCACCACTGCTTTCCAGAGCCTGGCACGCTGCAGGCATCGCACAAATGCTTGAGGGATGAATGACCCAAGTCCCTTCTCATGAATATCTCTGGACTAGTTACTTCCTCTCCTTGGGGCCTGCATCCCTGCTCTGAAAAATCAGAGGCTCAGGTTTCATGGTTCCTAAGTTGCTACAAGTCGCCCAAAGCACAGTGAGAATTCCTAGCGTGAGTAGCTCCAGAATTAGATAAATGGAAGTGCTAACAGTTAACTCTCCATTAGGAACCAGGACAATGAGGCTAATGTGTGGTCTCTGAGAAGCATCACCCAGTAAATATCCAGTGATCGATTCTTCAACAGACCTTTCCTTCCAGCTGATCACACACATGGAAAGAGAACTGGCCCCGACTCCCTTCCTCTGACTGTTGCCATCTCGTGGGACTAATAAGTGATGGAAAAAAAATGAGGAGAAGCAAAGGACAGAAATACCAGATCCCAGATAATTGAAAGCTGACTATCTTTGTTAATTCTCAGGTGGGTTCAACAAGTTGTTATTGAGCATCTGCTCTGAATCGGGCACTGGGGATTCAGGGATTAATGGGATATGGTCCCCGCCTTCAAGGGTCTGGTGGAGGAGAGACAGGGAAAGAGATAATTACGATATTTTCATCTATCTATCCACCCACCCATCCATCCATTCAAATAAAAATTGGATACCTAATCTGAATAGATGGTGGGGGCATAAACATATCCTGGATCCTAAATTGTAGCCAGGATGCCACACTTGGAAGCCTTGAATATTTTAAGCAAGCTGAACTATGGAAAATATTTCTGAGTGTGGAAAAAACTATGGAAAAATATTCTGACATTTCACAAAATGTACCTCCTCCCCAAAGCCATCCCTAATCACCAGGAGTTGGAAATAGTCAGAAATTGGGAGGTAGTGAATGGACAGTTGTGTAATAGTTCCCACTCCCACATGGAATTAAGAAATGACCACGTCCTGTGGGTTCAGCCTGGGTGGTGGTGGTGGCGCCGCTGTCGGAGAGGTGGTGGGTGGGCCACAGTGGTTGGCTCAGGTGCTGGCCTGACAGATGAGAAGTGGCCTTCAGGCTCCACCAGCTGCTGGCTGAGGAACCCAGGGCAAGTCTTTCTGAGCCTCAGTTTTGCCGTCTGGAAAATGGGGGAAAAAGCCATACCCATTGCACAGAGTTGTCGTGAAGTTTCAACGATTTAATAGATGTGCTTAGAAGAATGCTGAGCCTAGGGCATATACCAATAAATAGAAACTCTTCGTAGTAGGGGCGCTGGGATATTCCACCTGGCCAAACACCGAGGCAGATGTCTGACAAGCTCTGGCTTGAGTATTTTGGCTCATTTTTAGGAAAGGAGGACTTTATTTTTCAGTTCCTTACCAGGACAGGTCTCTCCATGGATGGCTCTGTAATTGTTTGCACCTGGAGACTGAATCAAGACAACACAATTCACGGGCTGGGAAGGATGCCTCATCTTTGTGTTTAATCTCAGGGCAAGGCGAGCCTGGACTGAGTCAAACATGGCTATGAGCCTTGCAAAGCTTCAGTCAGAGGCTCTGGCCAGGGCAGATGCTTAACTCCTGCAGAGGAAATCGCATCTTCGAGTCAGCTGGCAGCAGCTTATTCAAGTTCTCTCATACATGCCTCACATAACCCCTTTTATGAAGTCAAAACCATGTGTTATTTGCAGGATTACTGTATATATAACAAGTGAACTCAACGGCAGCTTCCTCAATAAATATGTGTTTAAATAAAGGCATCACTGGGTATTTATGAATTTCAAGAGACCCACGTGTTCGGTTCATAAAAGCTGCGAAGTAATTTGGGGAGGTTTTTTCCCTCTCTCAGTTGAAAGGCTGCTTTAAGGGCTGCCTCCGTCCAGGAGGCACCCGCAGTGTGCACTGAGCTCCTTTCTCCAGGCCACGGCCCCTCTGAAGGATCAGGAAGCCAATTAGGGAGCTCAGTGTGGCCAGGTGGGAAGTAGATCTTGGCGTCCTGTTTAGGGACATTTTCCAGTGCACATTTGTGGCATTTACCATTAATACACATAAAAAGAGCTTCCTGGGAGTTTGCAGATTTTGGGGGAGACAGCTGGTTCTTATATCTCTGAATTATCTGATGTTCACTCAGAAGTCACCCCCCAAATCCTAGGTATCTCCCCACCAGAAATGGAGAATTTTGGTCAGAAATAAGGAGGCAGAAACCGCAGTAGGAAGAGTGAGGGCTCTGGAGAGAAACTGAGGTGCTGGCTGGGGGAACGTGGGTAAGTACCTTGGTTTCTGAGTCTTGGTTTCTGGGTTTATAAAAATAGGGAGAAGCTTACCTCTCAGAGTCGCTCAGAGAACTGATAAGACCATCTGCGGCCAGAGCACCCAGCTCAGCCTCTGCCACTCAGGAGGCCCTGTGTCCCCCTCCCATCCTCCCTCCCTTCCCAAAGCTGCTCTTTATGGTGTGAGCATTGCTTCCCCCCTTTACGCGTCTCTTGGGCCTCAGAGGAGTATCGGGCACAGTGGCAGCCGACCCAGAGGGGCATTTTCAACTGTTGGTAGTGGTATAGCTTGGGAGAGAAGGGCTGGGGACAGGTGGCCTCAGGGGCTGCTAGGGAGCTGCCGCCCCCAGACCCCTCCCCCTCAGCAAAGGGGACCCGGAAAGTGCCATCTGAGCTCACTCTGGGATACAGGGACACTTAGCATCCTTATACTCAGCAAACATAGTTGGTTCAGGATAGCTTTTGCCTGCCGTGGAAACGCATCAGGTTTTCTTTTAGTTTGCATCTTCTCATCGTTTGCTGAACCCCAAACCTGACTTCCTGGCTACACCAAACCTCTTTTGTTTCCTCAGCAGCACCATTCCTTTTCTTGTCTCTGCACCTTTGCCTTGTCTGTTCCTTCCACTGGAACCACTCTCTTCCTTGCCTGTGCACTTGGCTAACTCCTTCCCACCAGCTAGCCCCTGAGTCAGAGGTCCCTTCCTCCAGGAGGCCTTCTCTGACCCCCAGTCTGGGTGCCCCTCCTGTGTGCTCCCACACACAGCATGTCCACATCTCCATCATACCATGGATCGCCCTGGCTAGGAGAGGAAAGAGCAGTTTCCTCTGTCCTTGGCCTGACTGAGCTCCACGTGAATGAGGATGTCATTTGTCTTCTTCATCACGTTATCTCCGCTGCCTTGCACAGCAACAGCACACAGTAGGTGCGTGAATTGAACTGAACTCTCATGTTTACTCTGTGTAGGAGGAAAAAGCAATCATGTAGACTTATGTCAGGCGTTGAACAGATCAAGGACAGAAGACAGGCCAAGCTAGGAGTTTTCAGGCAGATTCTGATGGGACAAAAAAATGGCTCCCTCATTTCCACAAGGGAGACGTGGGCTGGACTGGTGGCATCTTATAAGAAGGCAGGAAACATGGCCAGAGGGAGGACGGAACTGAGGCTGTCAGATGGAGGTAGTTGGGGCTATTGGTGACCTTGGTATACTTCTGACCCCCTTCCATCACGAGCGCCCACTTCTGGGGCTGCATCCTCACCCCCAACCATTACCATTTCCTCCCAAAAAGTCAGAGGGGAAAGAAGACTTGACAGCATTCTGTGATTGGCTGCTCATGAAATCGCTCTTCTCCTAGCTGATGGAACTGGCTAAAATGAGGTTTCCGGAGGATTTTATTTTTTTTGCCAGGTGCCTCATTTTATTACGGAATAAATGAATTAACGAGTGACATGGCCAGCCAAAGTTGTCCAAGCTCATTAATAAAGAGGCACGGTAATTTCCAGGGCTCCCTTTGGGGCCTTATCAATCTTTCTGGAGGTTCTTACCTTCATTTCATTATTTTGAAAGATGACATGGGGGGCCCCTTCTGTTGCCTTTTAAGTGACCTCTGGAGAAGGCACCTGGGCAGACTGTAAATCATGCCTCTCCCTCCGGGTTCCAAGCTGCCCTGGGGATATTTCTGCGGCGTCCAAGCTGGACCTTTCCCTCCCATAGGCCTCTCCCCAATCACCCCCCCTTTCTTCTAAACTCACCACCAAGCTGCTGGGCCTTAGGCCCTGATGTGCAGGGACCTCTTGTGAAGCGCACCAAGCTTGGGTGGCACGTTCCATTATGTGGATGACATGGCCATTAGTAACCATGGTAACTTCCCTTCCCAGCCTTTTGTGGCTCCACAGGCCTAATTTACACCAGTTTCTTCCAGATTCAAGGGGTTTGGGGGTCCCGATCAGCACAGCTACGAGCAGGGTTACTTATAGAGACACACCTTCCTTTAGTCAGGACAAGACAGATACCAAGGACTGTCCGAACCTCGCAGGTTAAAAGAAACAACCCCAAATCTCTACTCTGTAAACCGAGATACAGACTCTTGGAAAGAATCCAAAAAGAAAAGAAAAGGAAAAAAAAAGAAAAAGGAAAAGACATATCCTTGTCATGTTTGTTTCTTACAGCAGCGAACACAAGACAGACAGAAGATGTGTTGTTGTTACAACTGCAACTAGACTTTAGAATGGACAGGCCCCTAAGGCCACTGGCAACAGTGCCGACTCCTCTCAGCATAGCCTTGCAATTAAGGACATAAATCTACCAGCTCCTGTTTTTCTCCTTTTTTTTAAAAGAATCTTTAAAAAGAACCTATCATCGGGGCCGGCCCAGTGGTGCAGCAGTTAAGTTTGCATGTTCCGCTTCGGCAGCCTGGGGTTCGCCAGTTTGGATCCCGAGTGCGGACATGGCACCATTTGGCACGCTATACTGTGGTAGGTGTCCCACATATAAAGTAGAGGAAGATGGGTACAGATGTTAGCTCAGGGCCAGTCTTCCCCAACAAGAAGAGGAGGATTGGCAGCAGTTAGCTCAGGGTTAATCTTCCTCAAAAAGAAAAAAAAAAAAAAGAACCTATGATCATTGGGGCCGGCCTGGTGGTATAGTGGTTAGGTTTGCGTGCTCTGCTTTAGCAGCTCAGGGTTTATGGGTTCAGATCCTGGGCATGGACCTACACACTGCTCATCAAGCTGTGCTGTGGCGGCGTCCCACATACAAAATAGAGGAAGACTGGCACAGATGTTAACTCAGCGACAATCTTCCTCAAGCAAAAAGAGGAGGATTGGCAACAGATGTTAGTTCAGGACCAATCTTCCTCACCAAAAAAAAAAGAACCTATCATCTGTGTCAACATCTGTGTATCCCACAATCTATATCAACTCTGGTAATAACAAAAAAGCAAGACAGCATCCACCCCTAGTGGCCCGGGGCAAACAGGTGGAATTACCTGTCTAGGCCTGGCTGGCCTCGGCAGGGACGCCGTCAGAGTCCGAGTCAGCCAGTTCTGCCGTGCCTTCGGCTGCAGTCTGACTCCAGCTGTCTGACCTGTCTGAGATGGCGTCCTCCTCTCCGACCGTCACCTCCACCCAGTCCACAACGCCTGACTCCTCGTTCTCGTCGCTGCCCTGGCCATCCTGGCTGTTGCCCTCTGACCTGTCCGAGATGGCCTCTGAAGGCTTTGCTGGCAAACCATCTTTTGCTTGTTCGCTGCCCACTTTCGCCCTGGGTACCAACTTCTCCAAGTCCTCTTTGCAGAGCTTTTTGGGATCCTTGTAATATTGCGGACCCACCTCACTCCCGTTCTTTGGGCTCTCGATGATGACGGCTTTGGGTGCTTTCCTCGATGTGGCGTCGTAGCCATGGTCGTCTGCTACGTGCTGTACCTGGTATTGCTCCATCCACTTCAAGGTTCCAGTTTTTAGCAAGCATCTGTTCTCCTTGAACCAACGCACAATTTCAGTTCGGACCAGGCCAGTCTTTGCTGCCAACTGGTCATACTCCTGGGGCGTAGGCCACTGGGTTCTCGCAAAGGTGCTCCTCAGGAGATGAATCTGTTCTTGACTTTTTGTAATTGCTGGTGAAGGGCTGGGCAGAGAACTGGCTAACTGGGCACCAGAGAGCTGGTCAAGTCGAGACAGAGCACCATTGGGGGCCACCATGTCTTGGCCTTTTTTGCCAGACCCCATGGAATCTAAGACAGCCTGTTCCATGCTGTCCCGAAGCTTCCGCCTCTCCGAGAACCAGGAGTCGATCTCTCTCCTGCTCAGCTTGGTCTCCACCCTGAGTCGGTCCAGTTCTGCTTGGGTCGGAAAAGAACTTTTCAAAAAGCTGTCTTCTAGGATTTTCACCTGATCCTGGGTTTTTTCTTTGAACTTCTGTGGGGCGAAGTCTGGGTAGGCATGGTACGTGCGACCGTGGCGGGAGGCCGCGATGGCCAACTGGTCTTTGGCAAGAGATTCGCTGGTGATGTGGACGATGCCCCTTTGACAACGATACCGGTGGTCACTGAACCACTTCTTGATCTCACTCCTGGCGAGACCGGTCACCTCAATGAGTCTGTAGACCTCAGCATCGTCGGGGAACTGGCTCTGAAGAAAGCTCGCCTTGAGATGTGCTATCTGCTCCTTTGTCTTCTTGCGGTCGCTGGCTGGGGTCAGCGAAGGGTTGGCCACCTTAGGTGGGGGCTCTGGCACCTGAGCGACGTGTGGACGCTTGGGCTCGGGGGCAGCTTGGGGAGTCACTAGAGGTCTCTTCTGGCCGTGGTTGGTCACTCCGGCCACAGCAAGCGTGATGGGGGAGCAAGAGACGGTCGTTGACCCGCTCGTCACCTGGGTCAGCACCAGGCTGGTCTGGCCAAGGATCTGGCATGGCAGGGCTGTCTGGAGGATGGGCTGCGACATCTTTGTGGGGGCCAGCTGGGCGGGCAGCACAGTGATCGTCGGGGGTACTGACTGGATGGTGCCGTTAAACATCTTCTTCCGGGCCTCCTCCACCTCCTCGGGAGACCAGCTGATGCCATGCTTTAGGCGCTGGGTGGCGAACCAGATTCTGATGTGCTCTTCTGGGTGTTTGGAAGCGGCTGTCAGCCAGGACAACTCAGCCTGGGTCGGGTAAGGGAACTTGTTGAAGGAGTTGATCATGGTGGCATTCGTGTCCAGAGCAGAGTTATATTTGGTAGTATTCAGCGGGACGGGGACTTTGGGGACAAGGTTGACATTTGGTGGGAGCTGGACAGAAGGCATGACGTGCCCTAACGTGTCCTGGAGGAGCTCCACGCCTCCAAGTCTCGAGAGAATCTCAGCGGCGTCTGTCACCAGGCGGGCTGTCCCTTCCACGTGGTTCTCAGGGGTGGCCTCCTCGGGCTTCTTGGGCACCTTCTTGGCTTCAGCTTTCGGTTTCCCTGGCTTCATGATGGGGGTTTTGCTCACGGAGATCCCAGCATCACTGTCCCCACTTCCGGGGCCGCTGGTGGGCATGGACACGACATGGTTGGTGGCTTCGATGGACTGCTCTAAGACAGTCTGATTATTGCGCTTGATTAACTTCAGTTTGAAATTGGTCTCACCGGGGTGGAACTTGGCGTTGTGGTCAGACAGGGAGTCGTACTTTTTGGTTGTGAAGTTGCACTCGGCACACACATAGAGCGGGTTGAGAATCACGTTGGGGTGCTGCATGTCGACGTGCTCCGTGAACTCGTTCAGGTTCTGCGTGGAGTAGGGGCAGTATTTGCATTCATAGCCGCCTTGGAGTTTTTTGGATGGGTTTTCCCCCGTCGATTTCACCTCGATCACTTCGTTTTCTTTGGAAGCGTTTTCAGGTTCCGCTGCCCAACTGTCCTTGGCCACGTCAGGCTGGGGCGTGCTGATTCCTTTTTCTTTGGCCCTGTCTCCTTCCTCGGGCACATCTTGTTCTACTACTTGTGATGTCCGAACCATGCACGGGGTCGTAGATTTTCGTTTGCTTGCCATGCTGTCTGTCTGTGTGCAATGGCTCAGTTGGGGGGTGGGGGAGGGAAGCAGGTAGGGAAGGGACAGTGAAATTCTTGGAACAAATAAGACACAAGGTTTTTGGCTTTGTTCCCCCTCCAATGGCTTTGGCTTTCCTTGAATGCTGCAGTCTAGTGTTTGAGTTTTCAGAATGATTTCAACACAGAAAATTGTAACTGCTCCAATGGCTAAACGCAAGAGGCAGCGTCATACCTGCGGGACAAGAAGAAAGACAGGGTCAGGGTTTCTCCACAAGGCAAGAGGAACTAGCACGTCTTTCTGAGTTGTACCGACGACCCTTCCCAAATGGCACCCCAAGCAAATGCCCAGGTAGGCACAGACGGCGTCAGAGTGGGTGTACATAAAAATGAAACATTACATTCTTCTCTCCCCTTCTCTGGGAAGGGCACTGGGAACAGGCCCCAAACAAGCAAATGAGGATGCAGGTCACACGTTCACGTTTAGAGAAAAATGGACACAGAAAAACAACAAAGGTACTGAGATCTTCTGAAGTGGTGGCGGAGGGAACACTGCAGGTGAAATGTCGCTGGGCTCGCAAGCTCCTTTTACTGATGGTACATCAGAAGCAAGACGCTTACCTGCGGCTGGCAAGCAGGACTTCCACGGCCATTAGAAAATGAACGTGAAGGTTTTGTTTCTTATCATAAAAGTAAAAGCACTATAGAAAGTCCAGAAAACGCACTGAAGTAGACAGGAGAAAAAATCACCCCAAATATTGTAGTTCTTTCATTTCACTTGCAAGTCCCTCATTTCTATAAATATTGAACCAAATAGTGATTTAAAAAATGGCTGCATGGTATTCCATTGTAGGGACATACCATACATAATGTATTCAGCCATTGGACTTTTGTTGGACATTTAAGTTATTTCCAGTTTTTGGCTCTTATCAACAAAATTGCAGCCAACACCCTGAGTCCTTATTTCTGATAACTACCTTTGGATGAGTGCATAGAAATAGAAGCACTGGGTCAAAGAGTGTCGGCACTGGAAGTTCTCTTGACTCATACGGCTGAGTTCTTGCATCAGTTGGCCTTTCCCCTGGCAGTAAATGAGAGTGCCCAACTTACCACTCACCTATAGGAAATATGACCAGAAAAGCCTTGCTGATTAAGTAGAGGAAAACTGTTTCAATATGCTTCCGTGCTTTCCCTGATGGCTACTAAGGGTGAACTGCTTTCAAAGATTTACTTGCCATTTGTTTTCTTTGTGAATTGTCTGTTGATGCCATTTTTAAATTTTATTTTTAAATTTTATTTTTTTGAGGAAGATTAGCCCTGAGCTAACATCTGCTGCCAATCCTCCTCTTTTCGCTGAGGAAGACTGGCCCTGAGCTAACATCCATGCCCATCTTCCTCTACTTTATATGTGGGACGCCTACCACAGCATGGCGTGCCAACCGGTGCCATGTCCGTACCCGGGATCCAAACCAGTGAACCCTGGGCCACCGAAGCGGAATGTGCACACTTAACCGCTGTGCCACGGGGCCAGCCCCTGGGTTTTATTTTTAATTTACAAGAGTGCTCTATAGATTAAGAATATCAGTACTTTCCTTTATTTGTTGCAAAATTTCTCCAGGCTATCATTTACCTTATAGTTTTGCATATGGTATTCATGTAAAATTTTTAATTTTTAGGTAGCAAGTTTATTAACCATTTTCTCTTGTGGCTTCTTTCATTGTGATTTTATATATAGAAAGTGATCCATTGCCTTGAGAGCTGAGACATATTATGCTATGTTTTCTTAGAGCGTTTTTGCTTTATTTTTTACATGTAACATCTGGAATGGAACTGATCTTGGGTTAAGCTGTAAGACACTATTTTTTGGAAAGTTACCAATTATCTCAGTAGCATATATTATGTTATTTTTTCTCTTCCCAGTAATTTGTGAAACCACCTTTGTCATACATTAAATTTTCATATATACTAAGGTGTTTCTAGGTTATCTATTCCAGGCTCTTATCTAGTTATTGAGCCTTGCGCTTATGCCTTGTTTTAAAAAATATTTTTTGCAGGGTAGAGCATGTTTTAATATCTCGTAGCATGAGTTCCGCCTTATCACTCTTCTTCTGCAAAACAGTGCTGGGTTATTTTGATCATCTAGTCCCATCAATCAATTCTCATAAATCAGAATCATCTGCAAAATAACATCCTGTTAGAATTTTGATTGGAACTGCGTTACACAAATATTAATTTGGGAGTACAGGGACAATTTGCTTATTAGGAGGTAGTATACGTTAACAGAACCCAAACTGGGGAAGTGATGGGCTAGGCCACGTTAAGCGTCTAAGTGCATGGGCTGAGGCAGAAGAAGGCCTTTCATTTTGTGAGAGGAGGAGGGAGAAATGTTTTTTTTTGTTTGGTGTGGAAGATTGGCCCTAAGCTAACATCTGTGCCAATCTTCCTCTATTTCCCATGTGGGATGCCGCCACAGCATGGCTTGATGAGTGGTGTATAGGTCCACGCCCAGGATCTGAACCCTTGAACCCTGGGCCGCCGAAGCGAACCCAACCGCTATACCACCAGGCCGTGAAGGAGAAGTGTTTGAAATAAGGATGGCTGATATCCAAGGAGAAGGGAATGGAGGAGTTGGCATATCACCTCCTGCCACTCCCACTGGCCTGGGTTTGAGTCCCCCTGTAGAGGGGGCTCAAGGACAGAAGTAAAGACTTATTTTCATGAGCAACTCTGTGGGACTCTGGGCCCACATTCATCTGCTTAGGGGTTCAGGTGACAAATGTGAGCAGGTCTCGGGGGGGCATCCCCTCTTGTGAACCCCAAATCTGGCCACTCTATGGCTGGATCCCTGGCATTTTCATGCAGGACAACTTCATCAGCAGTGGGTGGGGGTTCCTCAGGGTCCTGGTGAGGAGCGGACATGGGCACAGCAGAGCAGCGGGGAACTATGTCTTTTTGCTGACCACACCCAAATTGACATCTTCTGCCTCCATTTCACTGCTGATCAGACTCTTGATTTTCCCCCTCAAACATGTGTCATCCCCTCCAGAGTTCATCTCCATCAATGGCTCCATCAATGGCTCCATTATGGCTCACTCAGGCCAAAAACCCGACTCCCTCTATACAACGAATCCATCAGCAATCCTGTTGAGTCAGTCTTCAAAATAACCTAGTCTCAGACCACTTCTCACCACTTCCACTCTCCCTGCCTTGTCTAAGCCACTGTCATCTACCACCTGGAAGCCGACGGCAGCCTCCCAAGGGTCTCCTGCGTCCTTCCTCTCTAGAGTATCAAAGGGATGTTTTAAGGTAGGAATCAGTTCATGTCACCTTTCTCCATGAAGCCCCTTCTCGGCTTCCCATCAGAGTGAACTCCACGCCCTTGTAACAGCCTGCAAACCCCAGCACGTTCTGACCCAGGCTTCCCTCTCCCCTTTGCTCCTCACGCTCCGGCTTCTGGAACAGGTGTCTCATCCCCATCACAGGGCCTTTGCCAGCATGTCTCACCCCCAGAGCTCCCCAATTCTCAAGGCTCCATTAAAAGTCATCCTCCCAGGGGCCGGCCCCCTGGCTGAGTGGTTAACTTCGTGCGCTCTGCTTCGGCGGCCCAGGGTTTTGCCCGTTCGGATCCTGGGCGGGGACATGGCACTGCTCATCAGGCCATGATGAGGCGGCATCCCACATGCCACAACTAGAAGGACTCACAACTGAAAATATACAACTATGTACCGGGGGGCTTTGGGGAGGAAAGACTGGCAACGGTTGTTAGCTCAGGTGCCAATCTTTAAAAAGAAAAAAAAAAGAAATGGTTTAAAAAAAAAAGTCATCCTGCAGAGAGGCCTTACCTGATCGCCACCCCATCCAAACTAACGCCTCTCCCAGACTCCCTCTGTTTCCTTACCCTGCTTTGCCTTTTTTTTTTATTTATATATTTTGTGGCTAAAGGAGGAAGGAGAAGAGAGTATTTACCTACTTGTTTATTGTTTGTTTCTCCCTGTAGAATTGTGCTCCCAATATGGCAGCCACTAGCCACATGTGGCTCTTTAAATTTAAATTAATTAAAATAAAAAAAAATTCAGTTCTTTGGTCACCCTAGCCACATTTCCAGGGCTCAAGAGCCACATGTTAAAGATTGTAGGATATGTCTAACCTTGAGGATGTCCTACTGGACAGCACTCTTCTAGAACATAAACTCCACAAAGGCAGAAACTTTTCATTGTGGTTTCCCCAGAGCCTAGAACGTACCTGGCCCACAGTATGCTTTCCATAAATATTGGTTGAATAATTGTATTAACGGCGGGGTGGCTACCTCGTGGGAACTGTAGCTGATACAGAGAGATGAGGTATGGTAAAATCTCTTGTGGGTGCTCAGTAATGTGTCTGCATGTATGTGTGCACGTGTGTGTGCTTGTGTATGTGCACGTGTGTGAGTGTGTGCATGTGTGTGTCTGTATGCGTGTGTGTGCGTGTCAGTGCTGGGGCTTCTATGAGCGGAGGAACTCTGTAAGGAGAAGGAGGTGTTAAAGTTCTGTAGGAAGCGCCATTGACACAGCAGAATGTGGCTAAATTTGTACCCACTAGCCAAGAGGCCTGGGCATTTGAATGACAAATTATTATTATTTTTTTTGTGAGGAAGACTGGCCCTGAGTTAACATCTGTGCCAATCTTCCTCTACTTTGTACATGTGACACCGCCACAGCATGGCTGATGAGTGGAGTACGTCTGCATCCGGGATCTGAACCCGTGAACCCCGGGCTGCCAAGGCAGAGCACACAGACCTGAAACCACTTGGCCACGGGGCCAGCCCCAGAACTACAATTTTTAAGAGAGGGAGCAAAAGGAGAATTTTCTCCTGTAGAACAAAGAAATCAGGCAGGCATGGGTGCAGGGGAGAAGAGACAGAAACGCCCCTATCTAGAATTATTTAAATTTGTTGACAAGTAAGGTCGAGAAATGAGCCAAATTGTGGTGAAACAGCCTAAAAGCTTTTCCATTGTTCCAAAAACTGTAGTTCACAATAAACAGTATCTTCTAAGACTTGTTCGGCAACCAGGAATCCAAACCATAGCAGAGTAAAAAGAAGGAAAGATGAAGGGAAAAAGAGAGAAGTGGAGGGGGTGCTCGGAAAACGCTGAGCCTTTGACGACTTCCTCTCCCGGGGTCCTGCTGACGGAGCTGCGAGAACCGCTGCCCTTGGAAGAATCACGCTCGCACCACAAGGGGCTGAGGGTCTGCAGG